TTCTTTTTATGTTTTCAAATTGGATATGGGATCTACGTGTGAAGTGCGTAATGAGAGATTATTGAGGATAAGTTATATCGACATATTCATACCATTACATGTTATATTATCTTAATTAGCTTCACATTTCTTGCTTGATGGCAAATGCAACATTCCACTATTATGATTAAAAAAAAAAACATTCCACTATTATGAATTTTATTTAATGAATATGATGTAAATGATAAAGTTAATATTGTTAATTTCAATATTTTCTATATAATAATTCAATAATATGGGATAAACGTGCAACGCACATTCCTAAGGACTAGTATTACTAAAAGTGGGAAAAAAAGTTGAAAATTGAAGTACTATTTTACCCCTACACTAGATTAAAATATAATATTTAGTTAATTGTAGAGAAACTACAAGATTTTTCTTGTCGCAACCATGTCCAACAGGCAGTAAACTGTGTTGACACAATATACAAAGCTTGGTATGAAGCTCTTGATTTTTCCCACAAGGGACTTGCAGGTGTTTGCCATCAAATGCACTTCGTCCATCTTAAAGTCAATGTAACTGCACCTAGATTACCAATGTTTTCGTTGGCGAGATCTCTTGACTTGAACATTGAGGACAAGGTTCTTATTGAGGACGGGAGTATTGTTATGAATCAGCCCCAGCCCAATAGGGATACCAACAAGGATATCACACAAATAGATATTGGGCCGAGTAAAAGCAATCGGGCCAGGCCTTCACAAAGGATTGTTTGGGATCCAGGCCCATTTACACTTTGTTAAAAAGGGCAAATGAGTTGGAAAGAAGGGTTATGCAAATTGCTAAAGAAAAGAGTGTTTCCTCTCATCTCCCTTCTTAGTCTAAGCTTCTCATCCCCTTCTATCCATCTATCAATTCCCTAGTTCTTATGTTTAGTGTCTCTACGATTCTGTTTGGGTTTTTGCTGTTTGCGTTGTTGCATTTACTTTGTGGATTTGTAATTGAACTCTAGTCTTGTTAATATAGTTGAGAAGTTTGTTACTAGTACAATTGGATTTGACTTCATTACAGTATTACATGCATATGATATTTATGACTGAAACCTAAATGTAAATGCAATTTCTGGTAATATTGTTATTATATTAATATTATTTATGTGTAACTTTTAAATGTAACTAGGATACAAGAGAACTTATGTTATATTTCTTACCCATATATAAAACAATATACATAATAATCTTTTAAATTGCGCTTATGTGTTATATTTCATAAAGAGTAATAGGACTATATATTGACATTATTCAAATTATATATTTTTTTCCAGATTCAAAGATGGATGAGCTCATATTTTTTTTAGTCAGACAATGCATACATCTACTTAAAACTAATTAACATTTGTATATATATACGTAAATTATATGATATAGTAATAGTATATTAAATCTCTTTCACAAACAAGTACTTTATTTATGCATGTACACAATATAATTAAGTATAATTCACTTGACATATTAAAGAAGAGATATAAATCAATTTAATTTTATAAATTGCTACTTTTATTCAATAATAATTTCTTGACATGTACATAACTTTAAATAGACTAAGGCATTGCTTTCTTAAAGACAAGTCAACTTTGCTACTTTCAATTTATTTATTTTTTTAGCAATTTTTAGTTTCTTTTCTTTTCAAGTTGTAGCATTCTTTCATTTAAATTTTGATAATTAGTATCCAAGTTTGTAGGTGGGTTCTTTCAATTGTGAGAGCAACGAGTAGATAAAAAATAAACGTAATCTAATTACCAATTATCTTTCATTTCACCAATATATTGATATCGGTTGGATAAATAATTGTTGGAGTAATGAGGACAAACTTGATTTCCTAGAGAGGAAACTTTTATATCGTCTCTTTTACTTAGGAAATTAAAGCTATTTTTAAAAATAAATTCGTCAAATTTTGGTCTTTATATCATTTTTTCATTTCAACATTAAAATGACACAATTTATATATGATATTTCATAATATAATTTAACAATAATTTATTTGGTCAAATATATAGATGACAACTAATAATTTTGAATCGGACAAAGGAAATAAAAGGTACAAACAAAATTATGATTTATATAATTGTTGATCGAATTTCTATACAACTTTTACAAAACACTACTCTCATTCGCCAACAACTTTTTAATATATGCACAAATATAAAAAGGTGGAGACTAAATTTCGTAGAAAGAAGATGAAAAACTCAAGACAAGAAATATTTTGAAATCTCACTTGACGTATAAATTACGATTTATGTCATATTAAACAATGGGAACTTTTGTAAAGTTTAATATTTCATATATTATAAGAATTGCATAATTGAA